AGCCCCCCCCTCCATGGTAGCAGCCCAGCACCGCCCGCTGTTGCTACTGCTTCTGCCGGTAATTAAGTGGCTGTGCTGTAATTAATGCTGGCATCCTTCCTGACAGGTAGGGAGTCCCAGGAGGAGGTGGGGGAAGGAATGGCAAAAAGTTGTCAAGAAGAGACAAGGCTGGTGGTGCTGGTTTTGCTCATGTGTGTGTGTGTGCGCGCACACACACACACACTCAGCTGCTGGGAAGGGTTTACTTGTAGACCCCGATGAGTCAGTCTCTGAAGAGGCAGCCTGAACGCTGTGCTCTAGGTTTATTTTGTATTATGGGGTTTGTTTTGTTCTGGATCTCATTATTTATGTCTCTGTAGGCCGTTGTGTTTTTAGCTGTGGTTAGCCTCCTAGAGTAGTGCTGAGGCACGAAATGGGCGGGATGTAAATGTACTGAATTGAATAAATGAATAAGACAGAGAAAAACCAGGATTTGTCACCCGTATATGGGTTCCTATCACATGGATGGATGGATGGATGGATGGATGGATGGACGGATGGATGGATGGACGGATGGATGGATGGATGGACGGACGGAAGCACTGTTGCACGTATGGGTGTGACTTCCTCATTTGCTCTAGCTGTGGTTCTCAACCTTGGGTCCCCCAGATGTTCTTGGACTACAACTCCCAGAAATCCTGGCCTGCACAGCTTGTGGTGAAGGCTTCTGGGAGTTTTGAGTCCAAGAAACATCTGGAGACCCAAGGCTGGGAACCATGGCTTGAGCTGATTCTTGGCTTCCACCGAGCTGCGAGCGGTGCCACAGAGAATGGACCAGGGGGCTGCATTCCCGCCACCCATCCATGCGTGGGCCTCTTGTCTTGTACGTACCGCCCAGGTCCTCTTTTCTTTCATCCTTGCGGGTGGGGCCTCCTTGGGGATTATACCCAGAGCATAATATAAAGCCCTAGCCCATGAGTGGTCAACCAAGAAGCATTTAGCAGCACCCCTACCACCCGGGACTTGCAAACAACCCCACACATCTAGGGTTGGAGGCCAAAAGTGGTAAGAAAGAATGAGCTTTGTTTCCTAAGTAACATCTTTGCCTTGGAAAATTTGCTGTTTTCTGCCATCAGATCACAGGGACTCTGGACAGGGTTTTCCAATTCTGTGAGATGTTCAAGGGAGTAGTTCATCATTGACCCCCAAGTGACTTTCCATGGCTGAGCAGGGGCTGGAAAGTGGGTCTCTTGGTTTCTAGTCTGCCCTCCAGCCGCTGCACCCGATTGACTCTTGTGTTCAGTCTTCCGTTTTAGGATTGAATCATTGATTAATGTGTTGGCTGTCCCCCATCCCGACGATGGATTCTTTTCTAAATCTCAAATGCTTGGTTGGGTCTCTAGCCATGGCATCCCCTGTTCTTTTGAAACAGAACGCAACCTGGGATTTTTGCAGGAAGGAACAGATGCCTTAAGGCAGATGCACTAAGGCAGAAAACCCTCTGCTGGTCACGTTGAGCGGTTCTGTCCGGTTGCAGCCCCATGAAGCAGGTTCTTCCCGTTCGTGCTGCTGACCCATAATAGAGCCTTGCTTTTCAAGTGGCGTGGGTTGGCAAAGAATCATACCCAAAAATGGTGCCTCCAGAATAGAACCCCTTTAGATGCCATGGTTTGCTTGCTGGTGCGCCTCGTGACCCTCAGAAAGCCTTCTGGAGTAGACCAGAGGCTCCTCATGTTTGGTGTTGTGCTCCAACAGAGGCCAATCACCCTGCTAGGAAGACGCCCATGAGCAAGATTGCAATCCTACCCTTCTGCTTTTGCTCCCCTGCAGCTGGACTACCCAGACATTACCACCCTGGCTAGTGATAGCCACCACCAAGAGCCATGCAGATCAACGAGCGGCTCTTGAATTCTCTGGGTGGTTGAACAGTTGGGACATGGCAACACTGGAAGGATAGGAGGTCTTCTATTAATCCATTAAATACACAAATTAAATTCAACTGCTGCTCTTTCGGATCTGGGTTTGTTTTGATTGTCCTGCCAATGTTGCGTTATTTCACTCTTCCATTAAATACTCATCGCTTGTCTATATTTTGAAGGCTGCATTGATTGTATGTGTTATATAAAGTCATCATGTGTGTGGCAGAAAGACAAAAGTCTGCAGGCCTCTCCCCCAAAGGATCTGTGGTCTTTGTAACCAAGAAAAGTTTCTGCTTATGCTCATGGTTTAATGGGACAACTCTCTGGAGCTGTGTCTCTGCACCACCTTTGCTGATTCCAGCTCCTTTCTCGACGTTTCATGGGGGCTGACCATTCCCTTTATTCCTGCCCCTGGTTTCTTGGTCCCAGACTAATTATTCTGCATTTCCCATCCGCTATCTCACCAACGTATACCGCTGGGCTCTTTTTATGCCTCATATATATTGCAGTTGCTGGGAGCAACATTTCCAAGGTCGTGGTCTCTCAAAATAAATTTCAGGATCCCTTCCTGTTGGACTGAATTCCTACAGCAAAGCAGGGTCGATTTAAAAATATATATATTTCAAGGCTTATTTGAAATATATCACATGATTTATTTATATTTAAAACATCCATTTTTAAAATTTAAATTGTCAAAAAAAAACCCACCACACAACACTGTGATTTTTAAATTTTAAATCATGATTTAAATCAAATCCAGCAAAGGCACAGCATTTCTTGAGTTGCTGTAAGAGGATCCGGCTTAAACGTGTTTTGTCCCGTGACAAAAAATAAAAAAAATCCACAACACCGTGATTTTTAAATTTTAAATCTTGATTTAAATCAAATCCAGCAAAGACACAGCATTTCTTGAGTTGCTGTAAGAGGATCAGGCTTAAACGTGTTTTGTCCCGTGATTTGACTGAAGCTGGAAAAAGTTTGGTGGTTCAGAAGAGAGAGTGAATGAACAGAGAGACCCAGCAAAGTCTAGACTTCCTTCTTTACTCTCTTCCATCCTTAAGAGACAAATCACAGGGCCTTTCTCAGTGGCTGCTCCTTACCTTTGGAATACCTTCTCAAAGGATTTTTAGATGGACGTCCTCGCTGTTGTCCTCCTCCTGCCAGCAGGCAAAAACCTTTTAATTCAGGCAAGCTTTGGGCAACTGGATGGCTCCAGTGATGGGGGCATTCATTCATTCATTCATTCATTCATTCATTCATTCATTCATTCATTCATTCATTCATTCATTCATTCATTCATTCATTCATTCAACTTCTATACTGCCAACTTGGCTACAAGGCCATTCTGGATGGTTTAACTTTTGATGGATTCCTGCTGTGTTTTTTAATGAAATATAAATAGTTTAACTGCTTTCTAACCCTATAATTTCCTAACTCTTTTTTTAAAGAAATCTGTGTCTACTGTTGATCTGTTCCTTTTTAAAAACAATCTCAGTGTGGGCCATCTTGAACCTAGAGTAGTCCACCGCCTAGAGTAGTCCACCACGACTAGATAGGCGGGATAGAAATTAAATAAATAAATAAACCTTAGGAAAGAAGTGGAAACGAAAGTCAAATACAATTAGAAAAGAAATAAATGAGACACTCTTTCTAACCCTATAACTTCCTAACTCTTTTTTTTAAGAAATCTGTGTCTACTGTTGATCTGTTCCTTTTTAAAAACAATCTCAGTGTGGGCCATCTTGAACCTTAGGGAAAGAAGTGGAAACGAAAGTCAAATACAATTAGAAAAGAAATAAATGAGACACTTGTATCTTCCTTCTTTCCTTTTTTTCCCCCCCTTTCAGATTTACCGGCGTTGTTGGCTTGTGTTCCGGAAGTCTTCCAGCAAAGGCCCACTAAGGCTAGAGAAGTATCCAGACGAGAAGTCGGTGTCTTTACGTGGGTGTCCGAAGGTGAGGACCTCACCCCTTCTGGGGGCAGCTGGATCTAAAACAGTGGTTCCCAAACCTTGGGTTCTTGGACTCAAACTCCCAGAAGCCTTCAACACTAGCTCTATGGCCAGGATTTCTGGGGGTCGTAATCTTGACAACATCTGGGGACCCAAAGTTGGGAACCACTGATCCAGAATATACTGAGAAGTCTTTCCAGGCCCCCCCAGCAATGCTGACTTCATTCCCAGGGAAGGGGGTCCCTCCTGAGAGATTTAGGGACCCAGCCATCTCCTGCACCAAGCCAGCATGCCATTTCTCTGCTCAACAACAATATCTTTAATGCTTCCCTGGGGCACCATCGTGGTCCGCGTGACACAGCCTGGTGGAAAAACAGTTCTGCCCAAGGGAGCCATTCTGGCAAAAATAGCCCTGTTTACGTTTTGGAGGGGCTGCCCCTCCCCTCCCAGCCTCACGCGTTGGGTCTCTTTTCCCTTCCCACCTGGCCTCCAAAGCTTCCTCTCCAGAGTTTAGTCTTTTCCCCGGTTGCCATGCCTTCTTTTTCTGGAGGAAACAAAAAAGGCCCGTTCTGGATTCTGCACCACCGTAAGGTCGCCTCTGTCGCTATAGAGAAGGCACATGAGTGTAACTTTCCAAGCAAATTCCCCCTCCCCTCCATGGCTTGGGTTCATCTTGGGTGACGTGAAGAAGCAGAGGAGCCTGGAGCTGGATATTTGGACAGGAGGACCCAAGAGTTAGTTTGAGTCCATCCGGAGCTGGCCTCTTTCCTTCTGTCCAGAGAGGAGAAGCTGGAAGAATACATGCGCGTGGAGCTGGCAGGTCCATGCGTTTCCATCTGCAAATACCGACAGGCAGATTCACATCCCTCCAGCTGCTAATTCTTGTGCCATCTGAACTTTGGCACCCCAGGCTGAAGCTCTAGTTACCCTATCTAGTTACTCCGGAAGGCCGTAACCGGTATGTTTCTGTATGAAATTCAAGGTCCCAGTGCGGACGTAGAAAGCTCTGAATGGTTTGGGATCTCGTTACTTGTCAAAGTACCTCTTCCTGAGATCTACCAGCCACACCAGTCACAACACCAAGGCTTTGACGTTGTGGGTGGCCACCTAGAGAGAGGCCAGGAAATCCGTGACAAAGGAGCAGGGCCTTCTCGGTGACGGCCCCTTCTTTGCAGAACCCTCTCCCTGTGGAGGTCTGCCAGCCTTCCTCCCCTCCTAACATGTAGAAAGCACATAAAAACTTTGCTTTTCAGAGAAGCATTTCAGGACAACTCTCCCTTTATAATAGTAGTTGTGTGTGATTTTTTTTAAATGTATTTCTTCTTATATGTTGATTGCTTTTTTGTGTCCATGGCTGCCGTCTTGTGTTTTCAGTGAGTCACTCTTTTTTTATATATATTATTGTGGTGTCGGATGGGCTAGGGAGTGTTGTTTTCATTTACGTTAATACTTACGTTGGAAATTACCCAGAGTTAACGGTGTGCTGCTAGAGGGTGCGGTATAGAAATTCAGTGAACAAACAAGCCAGTAACAAAGAGGCAGTTCCACCTTTCTAAGGAGAGGCACTTAAGAGCATCTCCTTATGAAGCAGCGTCTTCTGCGCCCCAGATATTAGTCTATTCAGATCTCAGCAAAGATGTTCTTGAGATGCATCCAGGGAGTTGCATGGAACAGGTATGGCTTCTCCTATGTTCCGGAAGTGTGATGGCAGGACCTTACCTGTGGGATGTTGGGGTGTCTCCTAGCAGGTGGGGCATTCGTAAATGATCTTGCTCTCCCCTGCAGGTCACAGAGATCAGCAACGTGAAATGCATCACCAGGTTACCCAAGGAGACAAAGCGGCAAGCCGTGGCCATCATCTTCACTGACGACTCAGCTCGAACGTTCACCTGTGAATCTGGTAGCGACTCGGGTGGCTTGGGAGCAGCAGCAGGGTGGGGCGCGAGGCAGGGTGCGATCTGGGGTTTTGCTGGGGCCGGCCGTGCTGTGAGGCAGGGTTGTGAGAGAAGCCACCTCAGGTGGTGGGCGGATGCTGGGAGAGGTTGGTTGGGCCTTTTGCCTTGGGCAGCCGGCGTCTTAGGCTGGCCCCAGAGTTTCCCTAAAGGCTTGATACTGATGGTATGTTTGTGCATTTGTGTGTCTTCTGATTTTGCAGAGCTGGAGGCTGAGGAGTGGTACAAAACACTGTCCGTTGAGTGCCTGGGGGCACGGCTCAATGACATCAGCCTTGGGGAGCCAGATCTGTTGGCCCCGGGCGTTCAGTGCGAGCAAACAGGTAAAGGAAGTTGACAGGTCTTTGGGTACCAAGTCCCGGCTCTTGAGTTCCTCTTAAAAACAAAGGTTTTCTCCCCAAGAAAAAGGGGCGGGGAGCATGCGTTCTCAGTCAGAGTTGAGTCTTGAGTCATTGGGGTGGGGTGAGATAACAGAATCAAGTCCGAGGTAAGTCACTGGTGTGACCAGCATGACAGCAAAGTCCCACAAATTAAGTCCCCATCTCTGGTGCACAGGTCGCTCCCCTGACAGGAGGGAGGGAGGTCGTCCCCTGCGTTGGAGAGGAAGGAAAATACTGAATAGGAGTAAAGAAAGTTTCAATAAAGGGCTAAAGCTCATGGACTGTCCCAGCTAAAGACAACCCATTCACAGGAAGTCAGTGCAATTAGGAATCCTGTTCATTTTAGGAAGTCTAAACTAAGGGCGGGCGCGTGTGGTCACCACATCAATGAAAAAAATGCTTGAAAAGGGGTTGGATCCACTCTGCGTTTTAGTTCAACCTTTACAGGAACTGTCCCAGGATGCTAAACGCTGTTCCCCAAATGGGTTCAGCACCCTGGATAGCTCCCAAGGTAGCTGTATTGCCCTGCAAAACTGGGACCCCCAGGCTTCACTGGACTAAAGCAGAGCCAGGAAAGAACTTCCTAAAAGGAGGAACTTGGCACTCCCAAGACCATGGATTAGTAAACTATGTTGTGGTCCAAGCAAGTGCACAAAGAGGTGTAGGACTCCGGGAGGTGGAAGCAAGCGAGAAGCGGCTAGGATTGTTGATCCGGTCCGTGGCGTCTCTCCTTGCAGATCGGTTCAACGTCTTCCTCTTGCCTTGCCCCAACCTGGACCTCTACGGCGAATGCAAGCTGCAGATCACCCACGAGAACATTTACCTTTGGGACATGCACAACCCGCGCGTCAAGCTCCTCTCCTGGCCCTTGTGCTCGTTGCGCCGCTACGGTCGAGACGCCACACGGTTCACCTTTGAGGCTGGCCGGTACGTTTCAAGTGGTTGCAAACGTATTTTGGAGAGGTGGGGGGGGGAGAAATGTGGTTCGGTGGAAAACGTGGATTCCCGTTCGGGGACACGGGGGGCAGCCAGTCCGCTCCGGGGGTTGAGCCTGAACGGTAAAGAATCTATCCGAGATATTGGACCCAACTTTGGGGAGTGGGTTGGCTGCACCCAAGAAAATGGGAGTCGTCCGTCTCCACGGGAGAGCGGGCTAATTTCATTTAACAGGCATTCCTTCGGCCCAGAATGCATGCCGATTGAAGAATCCATGTCTTCTGCGCCTGGAGAAGTATTTGGCTGCGGGTTCGAGTTCTGCACATTGGATGATACTATCTTAGAGTTTCTTGGTGGGACATGAATATTTTAAAAACTGGACTATCAATAAGTGTGTAGAGAAGAGGAAGGAGGAAAAAAACAGATGAAGGGGTCATTCATTCTAACCCACCCCGCCCAGGGTAGGCAGGCCGAATCCAGTTTCCTCTTCTTCCGGGCTGTGGACCATAGGCATCCATAGTTTTGCAATTCTCCAAATGTAAGCTGCCTTTTCCTTATTTTAAACACTGCTTATTTATTCATCTGTTAGAAGTTCCTCCTTTTCTCTTTCTGGACTTCTTCAAGTAAGAAATAGATTCAAGAGGTCTCAGACCCCAGCTGCAAACTGGCAGGATCGGAGGTCAGTCGTAGGCAGGAGATGCCACAGTTAAGTAAATGCCATTTGGGCTGCTGTTTTACAGTTCTAGGTTGGTTCACAAGCACCCGAAAAGGAGTCCCCCCCCATCCCCCGGGAGGGGATCTGCTCCCTTGGCAGCGATGGTTGCAAAGAGGAATAAACCACCCTTATAATCCCCAGCCTTATGGAATAAAGCTAAACGCTCTGCTCCTCTCTCAGAGCAAGGCAGGATTTTAAACCACCGCTCCCTGAAGGCCAAACCGACACCCAGGAAGTCTCGGCTTTTTTCCCTTTGTGGGCCTACACCGCCGCTGCAAAACTTTGCAGATGGGTTTAGATCGTCCCCCGTCTGCGCCTATTAGTGACTCCAGCTAATTGCCCTCCACAAAGGAAAGAAATCTGATCCTTTCCTTTTATCCCAGAACTTCTTTTATAGAGAGATTAGAGGAATTTCCCTCCCGTCCCACCCTGTTCTGAGGCCGCGGAACAGCCTGTTCTGACCGTGACGCTTTTGGTTTCCTTGGTGCCGAAGAAAGGGGAATAACCCAGCTGCCACTTGGAAGGAGAGAGAGAGACAAACCATACTCTAGGCAAGTCAGGGGGTTCTGCTTCGCCTGCTTTCCATTCTGCTGTGGGACGATCTCAGAGCTTTTAATATATACAGAGCGGGAGAGTGTGTTTCGGGGTAAGGAAACTACTGCTGCTCATCCATGTTCCAAACCCAGTTTTACACATCTGTCCGTCTTTGCAAGCTGCTTTTTGCTGACTAGGGTGAGCAATCATCATCTTGGAGCTGCACATTTGGAAGGGACCCCCCCCCCGAGGATTATCAAGTCCAGTCCCTGTCAAGGAGGACCTGGGAGGGGGGGGGATCGAACTCCCAACCTCTTGCTCCGCAGCCATAAGGATAAACCACTGAGCTGTCTACTTGTCTTAAAAGGGGCATCGTCGTCATCACCACTCACCACTAAGGGGAGGCACGGGGATGTGGAGCATCGAACTCTCAACCTCTCTGGCTATGCTGCCCGAGACCTAAACCACTCAGCTGTAATTAGCTCCGGAACTGAAATAGGGGCTGGCAGAAGATGAACCGGCTGCAGGAAAGGGCCAACCGGTGGTCCTCTGGAACCAGCAAGACTTGACACAAGGCCAGAAGAAGAGAGCGTATGCAACACCCTGTTCAAGGCAGGGACCCAAATCAAAGCAGATTTGATGGGCGGCTGTTCCGTTTTCTCTTGAGTTGCCTCCATTTCTGCAGTAATGGATTCCATCGTTGTGCTGCTCTAACAGTTAAGAAGTTTTCCTTGATATTCAGCCTAAATCTGGCTCCCTGTCACTTCAGCCCATGGTTGCGTGTCCTGCACTCTGAGATAATGGAGAACAGATCCTGCCCCCCCCCACTCCTCTGCAGGACAGCCTTTCAAGTCTTTGAAAAGTGCTATCCTGGCTCCCCTCCGTCTTCTTTCCCCAAGGCGAAACATGTCCCATTCTTGAGAATTGAATCTATAACTTTTCAGGGCTGCCTGAGTAGATCTAGTCTTCTTAAAAGAGAGAGTTTGGACCTTAAATAAAGCCTGAATCAGAATGACCTCCGGCTGAAATTATGGGATGGCTAGGCAAACAGTTTGACTGCCTTCACGTTGGCTGTGAGCGGCTGATTCACAGCAGAGCATCTGCCTGACGCCCAGTCCCTGGCATCTCCAGGTTCGCCTAAAAATGAACCTTGCTTTTAAACCCCAGAGGAGTGTTGCTGGCAGTCCATGTCGCCCCACCCCATTTGGATCGGCTGATAGCCTGACTCTGCATAAAGCCGCCGTCCTTGGTCCTGTCCCAGAAAATCTCGGCTGGCGTTGGCTTTGTTACTCATTCGGCAGAGCAGCGCCTCGCACCTCGGAGGGGAGAGAAGCCTGGGTGGCGCCGTCGGGGTTGATGACAAGAACAGAAGTGAGCAAGCACAGACAGGTGGCCCAGACGCCGCAGCCAGACTCAGCGGCTTTAAAGAGTCAGGCCTTTTTCTGCACCTGTTTGGCTGTTGGCATCCTCCAGCCCTGCCGAGCGGGTCGGGTCGTGGCAAGACTCAGGGAGAGAAAGCTAAGAGGAGGGTCAGGCCAGCAGCTCCCTCCTCTGGCACGCGAGGGAATTGGAGGCATTGGTCAAGTGGGCCCCACGCCCCCCCAAATCGCCTAGCCCCATGCCCCCTCTAGCTAGAAAGAAGTTGCTTTCACATTTAGCCTTGAGACAAGAAGACTGAGGGGAGAGTGCAGGACACGTAATAAGGAGCTCAAGCAACAGGAAGCCAGTTTTAGGCTGAATATCGGGGGGGGGACTTCCTAACTGTTAGAGCAGTACGACGATAGAACCCATGACCTCAGAGCATGGGTTCTGTCGTCATACTGCTGAGCACTCCAGTGCTGGAAATATTCGAGAGAAAATTAGGCAGCCATCTGTCAGATAGGATTCTTGCACTGGACAAGACGGCTCTACTCAGTGGCCTTAGGTACCTTTTCCAACTTTATTATTCTATGATTCTAAGAAAAGGTGTCATTCTCTTCAATAAAACACTGCCAAGCCCCTGAAACACAAAATCAGAATTATTAGACTCTTCCAATCCCTTCTGGCGTTTATTTTTCCACATTTATTTTACCTCTTTAGGGAGATGGTTTGGCTTTCGGTGAGTCCCAAAGGGTGGAAACTTGGCTGACGGACTCCGAAAGCTTTCCTTCTCATGGAGTAAAGGGCTTCTGGTGCCGTGGGAATGTGTGTTTCAGGAAAAGGGACTGGGTGTGATGCTCATGTGACCTGCAGTTTGTGGGTTTTGTCTAGAGCATTTGTTTATAGCATGGAAAGGATGTGTTTCATGGGGGGGTGGCCTCCTTCTTGACCCCCTTGTCCCCCCATGTCACCCTTGTGCTCAGCAGGATGTGTGACGCGGGCGAAGGGCTATATACCTTTCAAACCCAGGAGGGCGAGCAGATCTACCAACGGGTCCACAGTGCCACGCTGGCCATCGCCGAACAGCACAAGCGCGTCCTGCTGGAGATGGAGAAGAACGTGAGGGTGAGTGTCGGAGGGGGGAGGTGCCTCTGGAGATGTGGTTGTGTCATCTTCCTTGGCATGGTGTGGGCCCGGAAATCAAGAAACCATGGCAGAACCCCTGCAAGGAATAAGCCATGCAAGCTCAACAGGCAGCATGGAGAAATACAATGGTGCCTCGCAAGACAGTGTTAATTCGTTCTGCGAATATAGCTGTTTAGCGAAAACATCGTCTTGCGAAATGCGGTTCCCCATTGGAATGCATTGAAATCCATTTAATGCATTCCAATGGGGAAAATAGTCGTCGTCTTGCGAAAATTGCCCATAGAGAAACCATTTTGCGAAGCACGGACCAGCTATCAAAATCGCTGCCTTGTGAAAATCGGTCCCTAAAAAACCATTTTGCCGATCACAGACCTAGCTGTCAAAATCTTCGTCTTGTGAAAAACGGTCCCAAAAAAAACTTCTTGCGAAGCACGGACCGAAACATCATCCAGCAAAAATCGCCCATAGGGAAAAGCGTTTTGCGAAGCGCTATAGCATTCACAGACACTCATTGTCTTGCGAATAAATAGTTTTGTGAGGTAATCGTCTAGCGAGGCACCACTGTAAGCAAAGGAACGGAAGCACCAGAAATGCCAGGTGACGTGGTAATTTTAAGGACCCGAGCTAAAGTCTTTAGGCATCCAGCTGCAGAGCCCGAGGTTAGCAAAGGAACGGGAGCACCAGAAATGCCAGATGACGTGGTAATTTTAAGGACCCAAGCTAAAGACTAGGCATGCAGCTGCAGAGCCCGAGGTTGGGAGTTTGATTCCCCCTTGGTGCCTCCTTGACAGGGACTTGATGGTCCATAAGGTCCCTTCCATCTCTGCATTTCTAGGATGATGATGATGATATATTATTATCATGCAAAATTGGTTTACTGTAGCTAGTATAACTGGAGCAGGGCAAGAGGAAACTTACCACAGGCCAACTGAGTCATGGAGTCGACATGAGCCTCAAAGCTCAGTTATTAAAATTAAGTGAGAGAAGGTGTTTTTTCTTTTACTTGTGAATCATCTGGTGTTTTCCAAGCAGGAGATTCGAAAACAGCTCTCCCTTGCTTTCTGGGCTCAGCACGGCCGTTTTTCTTGGGCCCTGTGCTCGCAAGCTAACCCAACGGAGGACGTTTGATGGCTGAGCATTGCTCACAAGGCGGCAGAGAAGATCAGAGTTATCATCGATACCTACCGAAAACTTCCCATAAGATTAATTTCTGAGCAGTGATTTTTCTACCTGAAGTTGGAAGAATCAGAAGCTTAATACAGAGGCAGAAAGGACTAGTTGCTTCATGGTTTTGATGCAGAACCATTGTTTTAATTTGGGAGGGAGGGGAGGGAATGAAGGAAGAGCGAGCTGGGGGCAGTGGAGGCTGGTTGACTGATTTGGTGGGAACATTGGAACCACTCTGGGTTTCAGCCTGAACTTTGAAGGAACTGTCTAAGGTGCTGTGAACCTTCTTCAAAGAGAGGGCTGCACACGGATCGATAATGCTTTAAAAGTTTGGATGAAAACCCAAAGCGGATTTCCTGCCCTAGAGAATCTGGAATGCCTTAGGGTCAATTTCAGCTTTCCCCAACGCTTACACAGGACTTTCTGTGCTCTCCTTATCGACAAATGTCTATCGTCACTGGTGTCTTAAAAATCTGTATTGCTTTCTTTCTTTTCAGCTGTTGAACAAAGGCACAGAGCATTATTCCTACCCCTGCACGCCCACCACTATGTTGCCGCGTAGTGCCTACTGGCATCACATCACCGGCTCACAGAACATCACGGAGTCCTCAAACTATGGTGGTAAGTGGCTCCTCCGTGGGAAGGATGGAAACGCACCCCAGAATCCACGACAACCCGCTTGCATGCCCCTTCGCGAAATATTGACCACCTGGATTGGTGACCAAGGTTTTAGAATCCTTGATACAACAGGGAATAACAATGAGAGTTAAGGGAGGGAAAGAACAGGTAGACAAATTCGGTGCCTTGCAAGTGAAGAAATATGATTTAAATAATTTATTTAAAATATTTTTACCCCATCTTGATATTTATGATTTAAATGATTTATTTAAAATATTTTTTACCCCATCTTTCTCCTTAAGAAGGGCCCAAGGCAGCTTATCTCCTTAAAAGACAACATGTAAATTTAAAAAGCAGTAAATATAAAAAATTTAAAAGAAAACAAATGCCACTCTGAGAAACCGTAAACACAAATAAGACTAAGAACACAATCAAAGCGGTAACACATAACAATCCATTTAAAAAGGATTGCCAGTCCTTAAGGGAAAGCTAGCCTGAAGAGAACGGTCTTGGTCTGCTTGTAGAAAGAAAGGCAGCCAAGATGGCCTGGCCTCCAGTGGCAGGAAGTTCCAGAGTCTGGGAGTCGCCGCAGAGAAGGCCCTGCTCTTCTGTGCCTTGGTGTGCAGAGGAAATAGCTCTCCACCCCACCCTTTACCCTGTCAAGCATCAGTTCTAGGATAAAGGGATGCTTGTTAGCTGCAGAGACCTCGTATTCTGGCACGTCGAAATGCTGATGGCAGAGCCCCGACTCAATACATCATGATGCGGCTGTTCTGCAGTCCATCATGCCCCGTATCATATTGACAGAGGAATGCACAACGGGCTCCATTCAAAGAGTCTTTCGTGCTTCTAAGCCTTATTGATTTCCACGGGAGGCCTAAGCTGCTCTTTAAGGTTTTCCTTTTGAAATGAGCAGCCTCATCCCCAGTCTGACAGCGCTCGCTAGAGCAGGACCCACTGCATCAGTGGGAAGCCTCTAAGGATGGACTCGGGCATTCAGCGGTGGATCGGTTCTAGCTGGGATTCACCTCCTGCTTCGAAAGGAAAGGAAAGGGAAAAACCCAGGTAGAACAGAAATTCTCCTAATAAATATATTGCCTTTGTTCTGCCAAGAAAACTCTTGCATGTGATATTTTCGCCCAGCCCATGTAATCTATCGATTACAAAATATGTTCCCTGTCGCTTTACAGCCAATGCCAGGCTCACTCAAGAGGTGGGTGTGTCACACACGAGCGCAAGGGGTGTGTCGCGCATGCGCACAAGCTTGACACGCCCCTCCACAAGTGCGACACACCCACCCGTGAGCGCAGGGGTGCCCCCACCCCACCCAAACCAGTCTGCGCAGGGAGCCAGCACCTTCCCAACAGGGAGCCAGCAGTCCAAAAAAGGTTGGGGAACACTGCCCTACAGAATAAAATACACACACAAAGACTTTCTCATATACCTGTCCTCCCCCAGCACTCAGTGTGAATTATTTTTTTCCTACCTGGATGAGGATTAATAACTGCAAAGCAAGGTGTGCTGCTTATATTCTGTTGTCTGGTACTTAAAGCCCTCTCCGGGTGGTTCACAATTTCACTACGCATGGCACACAAACACACTCAGCAAGCTGGGCCCTCCATTTAGCGACTTCAGAAGGGTGGGAGGCCGAGTCGGCCTTGAGCCAGCTACCTGAAGCCTGTTGGGATCAAACTCAGGCTGTGAGCAGAGTTTGTGCTTGCAGTGCTGTTGCATGTGAATCGACCAGAGTGGCCATGGGTCAGAGGGACAGTAGGAAAACCAAATGAACAAATAAAATAAATGCTGAGAGAAGCTTCTTCTCCTCCGCCTGGATGTTGATGGGCGATGTGTCTGCTCGCTGTCCGCAGGTGACTCCTATCCGGGACCCCAGGCCAGCTCAGAGACTGACCTCCTGAACCGGTTCATCTTGCTGAAGCCAAATCTTCCTCCCCCAAACGGAAAGAGTGACAGCAAAGACCCGAAATCGGCTTCGCAGTGAGGCGGCCTAGCATGGGGAGGAGATATATATATATATATATATGTAGAGAGCGAGGGGGAGATGCTGGCTCAGTCGAAGGAGAGCACTCGATTTCAGCCCTCAAGATCTGATTTCGTTGCCGCGGCTGCCTCTCCTGTCCTTCCAGCAGAGCTTTTTAAAGTTCGGGGACGGCTTGTTTCGCTGGAAAAGGAGGAATGAAAAAAGAAAGGAGCAAAATCTGCACGGAGGTAACTCTTGAGGAGACTGTCCGGGCATCCAGGCGTTGGGACCCAACCGCGAGGCCCGAGACGAGGGTCGGAACCCTGATACCGACGGAGGACTAGCTTTCTATTGCTACAACTGTTTTAAATATATAATATTGCTTATGAATATTCTATATATCAAGAGATTGTCTCGCACGAATGCGCATTTCCTAGCCATCGAGGGCAGGTTTTTAAAGGGTCGACGGACAGACTGCGTTGCTTTCCATCCCCAGCCCTACTTAGGGATGGGACCCCCTAGGATATGAACCGAGGGGGCACCATCGGTGGGAGCAGAAAGACCCCGTTCTCCCAAGGACCAGAGGGGGCTGGGTTTTTGTCGGGTGTCCCAAAGGCCTTGTAGAGGCTTCCCGCTGACACAGGTCTCCTGTGGAGTAAACCAGAAGTCTCTCCATCCAAGGCGGTCTTTGGGAAGGGGGGCGTAAAATAAATCTTCCTTTGCTGCCAACAGTCCTTGCTGAGGGAGGCAAGAAGGACTGAGCCTCAAAAGGAAGGATGGATCGTTTTTTAGGAAGTTTTGCAACGTCTTAACATAGGACCCAGGTTGCATTTCCCTGATCTGTGGATCGCTGTGAGGCCGATTTCCTTCCTTCCATCCCGACATCCTCCCATTGTATGGGATGGCTCATCCTCCCCGGGTGGCTGGGACGGATGGGAGTTGTTGTCCCTCTCCAAAGGCCAGTGGAGTCCCGTGGATCCTTGAGGTTTCCCCTTTTCTTTCCAGAGGCTGCGACTCATGCACAGTTTTGAGTTCCCCTCAGGCCTTCCAGGGGAAGATCTCCCCCCTGCTCTTTCAGTGCCGACGGGGGCCTCGGAGGCCTGCCGCGCAGGGCAGGCAGCGATGTGTTTCCTGGGATGTTCCATCATGCCTGCCTGCTCTTCCTTGGCGATATTGACCACGGCTTGTGAGGTGGACGGGTTGACCTTCCTTTTTCCCAAATGGGTGCCCGGTTGCCAATGCATTTGCACAAGTAAAAGGGGGTGGGGTTGGATGGGAAAGGGGGGGGGCTGCCTTGCTGAGAAGGTTCAGGAGGCTCATGATGACCCACCGTTAAGGAAATTTTGCCTTACTCTAATTACACCCTGCCACACACCCCTTTCCCTTAACCTTTTGGGAAAAGGTTTGTTCTAAATTTTTCCTCCATCAGGATGTTGTGGAGGGCAAAGCAAGGGCTGGGGTCTGCATGCCCTGTTTCCCCCCCCCCACAGCTGCCAGCACCTTCCACCCAGGACCACCCTAATTAAAAACATATTCCCCTCTTAAGATGCCCAGTCATGCTCTTTGGGGGGGGGCACTCTTGCACTCCAAAATGCATTGTCTAAGCATCAAGGGATCTTTTGGGTTTTTGCATAAGAAAGGAATTTCAAGGTGGGGGAGGAGGAAGAGGAAATAACTTGGGAAAGGCCATTAATTTCATTAATTGATTGGCTGTTTCAAGCCCCCCCCCCCAAATCCCTGTTTCTTCAGTTCTGAGGATTTGGAAACCATCAGCCCTCCAAAGCCCCAGGAGTGGCCACCGCAGCCGGCCAGCCTCTGAACGTGGTCCGCCCCAGTTTTGGGTCCGAAGCGGCCGCCAAGCCACTGTCCCCGTCCCCTCCCTGCCTGCCAAAGTGTCCTCCTTGAAAGGGGAGCCTGTTTTACCCCTTCCCTTGACCGCCTGGAGACAATCAATTGGTCCTAATGGCCTTTGTCATCCAAAGCTTCACGGCTCCCCCCCCC